CATAAGCAGGCTACATGCAGGTTTCTAGCTAGCTGGCCCTCTTCCCCCTGGTAGTGGACCAGGTACCCATTGTGTTGACATGTGGCTCCCTTCCTCCCCTTGCCGTGTCCCGTGACTACCAATTTCACCCTTGCACTAATTTGACTAATTTGATTAGTGTTCAGGCCCCACTTATGAGTGAGAACATGTGGTGTTCAGTTTTTTGTTTTGTGATAGTTCACTTAGTATGATGGTCTCCAACTGTATCCAACTTGCTGTGAAGGAAATGATTTTGCTCTTTATGTCTGCATAATATTTCATTGTGTGTGTGTACCACGTTTTCTTTATCTGGTCTACTTTCGATGGGCATCTGGGTTAGTTCTATGTTTTTGTGAATAGTGTGGCAATAAACGTGTGTGCTGGTGTCCTTTTGGTAGAGCAATTTATGTTTCTCTGGGTATATTCACAGGAGAGGAATTGCTGGAGCATATGGAAACTCAATTTTTAGTTTTTTGAGAAATTGCCACACTGTTTTCCATATAGGTTGGACTAGTTTACATTCCCACCAGCGGTGTCCCCTTTTCTCCTCAGCCAGCACCTGTTTTTTGTCTTGTTAATGATCACCATCCTTATTGAAATTAGTAGTTTTGATTTGAATCTCTCTGATGATTAGTGAGGCTGAGCATTAATTCATGTTGTCTATTGGCTGCTTGTATGTCATCTTTTGAGAAGTGTCTGTTCATGTCCTTTGCCCACTTTTTAATGGAGTGGTTTCTTTTTTTCCTGTCAATTCATTTGAGTTCCTTGTAGATTCTGGATGTCAGGCCTTTGTCAGAAGCATAGCTTGCAAATAATTTTTCCCATTCTGTGGGTTGTCTCTTTACTCTTTTGATGGTTTATTTTCCTTTTCACAAGCTTTTCAGTTTGATAAGGTCCCACCTGTCTATCTTAGCTTTTGTTTCATTTGCTTTTGAGAAGTCATTTGCATGCACTTAAGAGCCTGTCATATTTGTTAAGCGATTCATGGTTGTAATTGAGAGTACTTACAGCAGGAAAACAACTACTACCATGCTTTTAAAAAAGCATCATCAGAAAACCCAGTCCTGCTTAGACCAGTACTTGCTCTGACCAGTACTTGCTCTGACCAGCCTCTGTAATCAACGTGAAGCAATGAGACAGCACCAAGAGGTTCTTTCTATGGCTCTATCATTAAGAAAAGCAGATCATCCTGGAAATAATGTATATTAGAAGCAGGCTGATAATAAATGGCCACATCTTCTAGGCATGCTTTCGCATTTAGCACTTTAACAGTAGATGCCTCAGTGCCCTGCCTTCCCACTTGGCTAACAGAATGCTATTGACAAACTTTATTTTTAAAAAATCCATTGATTATACCTGCTGGAGATCAAGAATCAAAAAACCGCTGCACCTTTGAGATCTTTTTAAGTGTTATCATTCTAGTAAGTCAGTGTGTTATATGCACTGGGGAAGAAAGGATGGATTGGTCATCTTATTCGGATTCTTGCATTTTAGGGGATAAATGTTTTTGAGAATTGTTCTGGGAGAATCACTGAGCTCTCCCTTCTCAACTCTCTGCTATTGTATAGATTTCTTCTACTACCACTATAGCCATGTTTGTTGCCAGCTATTATAAAGGCAAATCAAAGAAGGGAGACATGTAAAGAAAATATTACTTAACATTTTTAGAGGATAATTAAAAATATAGTATGAGAATAAAGAAAAAGTAATCAAATGGAAGTTAAAAGTAAGGAGGAATATTCCATTAAAATTTAAGCCTTATAAAAAGTCAGAAGTCAAATAAGTAAATGCAATAATATATTAAGGTAAAAAATTTGACACATGAAAATTTAGAGATTTTAAGAACATGAATTAAAAGCTGAAGAAATAAAAGTAAAAACATAAGAGTGACATCAGCAAAAATGGTGGAATTTCTTTTCTTCATATAAGTAATGTCAAAACTGCAAAAATTGTCAGAATCAACTTTTTGGAAAATGGAAAATTAACCAAAGACAGTGACAATCCAGGGAGCATTTATTATTTTTTTTAAATGACTGAATCTCAGTAAGAACAGTGACAATTTGTGACAATTTGACTTGTCCTGCTCGTATCCTCCTCTCTCCAGCTCCTCTGTGTCTTTAGGAGCCAAGTATCTGTATTCATGGTGAGGACCCGCAGGCTGGCATCCCCCAGAGGAGGTAGAGTGACATTGGAGCACCTTTAAAGCCTAATTCCCAGATAATTTTTACTTAATCTGTCTAGTGGTTCCCTGGAAGATCTCATTTGCAAGACTACTTTACTTGAGTTGAAGCTCACTCAATTAAAAAAGCCTTTTCTAGGATTGTCAGTAGTGGGAAATTGCTGGGGGGGGCGGGTAGTGGGGGCGGGGTTGGCAGTAGTAGGATTCTGCCAGGGGAGGGGTGCATACCTCATCAACAAGGGTGCCTGCATAATGAACATTTGTATACTTAATCCTGAATTGTACCCCACATCTTTAAAAAATAAAAAAGGGGAAAAAAATCCTTTTCTCCAATGGTTTTCGTTCAAGACAACTAGAGGCAATTGATTAGCTTTGCAGCTGTCTGAGGTGGTAGATAATAGTTGGGGCCAACAATAGGCTAACCAAAAAGCTTCATAGCAAAAAACCTGCAGTGCATCAGTGGCTTTAAATTCCTTTAGAAATGAGATTTCTGTGGGGGCTTTGAATAACTGTGAAATAATCCCGGGAATCTAGATGGTCACACTTATGCATAGAACTCTGTGCATGCTTAGGAAAGACCTGAGAAGGCCCTAGGCTTTCGCCTCTGGTTAACTGTGAGTCTCTGCATAAGCAGGAAGTAGAGGCTAAGGCAGAGTTGTCCACTGAGTGTTGAATGAATGTGAACTGCTTTCCTGACACAGATAGAGATTCTCAGCAAGGATTGGTTTTACCAAAGGGTTCTGTATCATATTGGTTCCAGGTGTTTAAGGAAATGTCTGTTCAATCATTAGCAGACCAGAATACTAACCAAGCAGACACTTTTAGTGGCCATAGACAACAAAGAACACATATTTTCAGGATTAGTTCAGAAAGTCACTATAAACAGTAACATCAACCAGCAACAACAAATCTTGGAGAGACCTTGTTTATTTGTTTCTTTATTTTTGGTATTTATCATGATTGGAGTTCTTTGACTACCTTAGATCTTGGTTAGACGTCTTTCATTATTTTTAGAAAATCCACAGTCATATTTTTTACGTATTTATTTTCTACAGTTCTTCCTCCCTTCTCCAGAGATTCCAATTACACATGTGTTAAGGCGGCAGTGGTTCCCAAACTTTTTGGCATCAGGGACCAGTTTTGTGAAAGGCAATTTTTTAACTCATTTCTGCTGAAGCTCCCCATATGTTCACGTGTGTTGTCTGCTTTTCCACTAGAGCCTTTAGCATGTTAATCAGTTGTTTTAAAGTCCTGGTCTAATGGTTTCAACATGTGGGTCATCTCTGTCTGTCTGCTGGCTGCTGTTATCTCTTAACAAATGGATTTTTTTCCTTGTTTGTGTGTCATACTTCTTGAGTGCTAGACATACTGTGAAGGACCTTGGAAACTGAGGTAATAGTATTTGTGCCTGGAAAGGGGCATACTTCTGTTGGCCCTTTAGTGTGGGGGAGTTGAGCTAGCTAATTCAGGAGTTGACCTAGGTTGGAGTTTTGTTCAAATAAACATGACCTTCAGTGCATCAGTGGCTTTAAATTTCTCTAGCAGTAGGCTGCTTTTACCATGTGTTTAATGTGAAGACTGGATTGCCAGGGGTTCTGCTCACTGATTTTGCTCCCATTTACCTTTCAGCCATTCCTCATGACTTATGCCCTGCACCACACAGGGACTTAAAGTCCTTACTTTTCCCTCATCCATTTCCTGCTCCTACTATTACTTGGTGCTAGGCTTAATAGTAGGAGAAAACTGGGAGTTGGCTGTTGTCTTAGTCCAACCTCAATCTTTGGTAGGCCCTGTGTGCTTGGGTATCAAGGATGGACTTTTTCAGCACTCTTCCCCATGGTGTCAGACAGCATTGACTGAAAACTCTACTTGGTATCAGTGGGAGATCATCAGCCCCAAATGATTTCCTGCCCCTCCTCCAATATAGAGGTTTTAGCTTCTGCCGTTTCCCCAGCAGCAGTGAATCTCTGCCTGAGTTCCTGCAAATAATTTTCTATACTTCCCCCTGAGGTTGCCTGATGTTACCTCTGCTCCTTCCTCAGAGGCAGTGAATCTTTGCCTGAGCTCATGGGCCAGCAAGTTTTTGTTCTTCTCTCAGCAATTTAAAAGCTTTTGCTCACAAGAGAGAGACAGCCAGGAAAGCATGTAGGACTTTCTGTTTCCAGGAACCTCCAGAGTGGGCTTTCCTGCTCTGCTCCCAGTCTTTCTAATGAGCACCTGATGGAGGCTTGATGGAGGCTTATGGAAAAGAGCTTGCAAGTGTGTATGGACTCTCCTTGTATCAGAGCACAGCAATACTAACCATACTTAAGAATTCATGAAGAGTTTAGCTGTTTTCTTACCTGGTTGTATGACAGCCACCTCTTTCTGCAACACCGTGCCAAAAGTGAGAGAATTTGTGTGGCCCATCTCTCTTTGGAGGGGCTTATTTTTCTTTGGAATTTTGTTTTCTTGATTACCTTACAACCTCAGCTCTCTGGCAGAATCGTGAAGAGTTATTTTGTTAAACTATCTGACTTTCTACATGCCAAGCAGAAGCATAAAACTGCTAGACTTTAATTCAAAAAGGGTTCAATTTCTGGCTCTCTCACATGCTATGTGTGATATTTGCTAGTTCACTGTTTTCTTATTTATAAAGTGGCAGTAATAATAATAATAACCATTATAACTTTGTCAGTAGAATAGAGAGCTATTTGGAAATTTTAATGAAATAATGCATGTAAAAGCACTTGTAAACTAGAAACCACTGTAGAATTAATGATCATTACTTTCTAAGATGCCATTTCTTTTTTTCTGTTCTCAGAAACAATCTTCAAGACACAGAAAGAAGTCCAAGACAGAATCGCCGTGCAAGAACAGCTGAAAGTGCTGAGATTGAACCAAGGAACAAGCGTAATAGGAATTAGTATGGGCTTTTGCTGACTTTTTAAATGTAGTGATCAGAATATGATACTTTTTGTTGCCATGTATAGATTTTGTTATTTTATAAATACCCAAGGAAAGATGTCAAATTCTAAATACTATGGTTAACTGATTTGTATTATTTTCTGCCTTTCTGGGGGGTGGATTGTTACAAGACATCCTCACTTGGTCAGTTGCCTCCTGCCTCTAAAACATCTCTCCCTGCTAATATTGACAACCACATGTCTACCAACTTTGCAGAGTTATCAGACTCTTTGGAAGAGTTTGGTTTGATTTGATTTCTAAATTTCAGAATGACTTTAAGCCATTCTCCTTCTCTTCCATGGAGAATCCAACTTCAGAAAAGAATTCTTTCAACCTCTTTACCACAAGAAGCAGTTGAGGAGTTAAGAGAATCTGTACTTTTGGAAAGGCAGGATGTCATAGTTCATATCCTTGGTGTATGTAAGAACCTGATGCCAGGCTACCACTATCCCTGTATTACTGCAGTTCTTTGATGGTTCTTGCCTGAGTTTTAATTGTTTGTTAGATCTGTGTCTTACACATTTCTTGGAGTAGAATGTTAGTATTATAATTTAAAGTCACAATAGTCACAATAACTTTGAAACGTTGTGCATATTTTTCTGAAATAGCACCTAAAAATGATTACTGTATTTTTTTACTTGGGTCAATCAAATCTTTAACACTGAATCTAAGCTATTAAACAAAAAGTATGCAATAAATTGATTTTATAAATGAATAGACTTCATATCAATTTAAACTAATGTTTTTAAAACAGTATCTTGTGGATGGCTGAGTATGAACTAGAAATAAATGGAATGGGTTGGTCAGAAATTGCTATCTGTGTACACAATGTCTAACGATTGCCAATTCCTTCCAGAGTTTCTAATACCTCTCTTGGCATTTCAAAGCCAGCCTCTCTGTACCACCACCCCTCTGCCATCACCCAACTCAAGCACATCAGTGCTCAAATAACTCAACAGCAAGTGTGGCAGTGTCACAACAGTTAATTTATGAGTTTGCCAGGTTCAACATTTGTAACATCCCTTTTCCAAAGAATGTCTCCGTTGACAGGCTTTTTGGTATGCTTTGGGGTTTCTGATAATGTGTGGGGTCTCATTGTGGCCAAGAGTTTAGCATTTTTATACTGAAACCCAGCCAGTTGATTTCTTTATGAGTTCCCTAGCTTCAAATGGCTATAGAAAAATTAGTCATAGTCATTTCATCTGCCTAAAATTATGAGTGGTACATTAAGAAAACTAAAAGCAGCACCACTCACCAATTCTTATCAACAGAGTGATGTGAGGTAAGTGAGCAATATCAAACGAAATAGCAGCTAACATTGATGTGATATTTGATCCAGTGTGTTGTCAGAAATTATATTAAAATAAAAACTTTCATTAAAAATTTATAGAGTCTGCTGTAAATTAAACCGGAAGTAATTGCTACTTTAATTGCAGTAGAAGGAGTTTGCATGGAAGTAGTATGACCCAAGACAGGAAATCAGGCACATAAATTCATTCGGTAAATATTTGGTTATCTACTTAGTTCTATATCAGTCACAGTACTGAGCACTGGGAATTCAGAGGTGATTTCCACTTAGTGCGGTGGCTCTTGTCTGTAATCCCAGCACTTGGAGAGGCCAAGGCAGGAAGGTTGCTTGAGCCCTGGAGTTCAAGACCAGCCTGTACAACATAGCGAGACCTCATCTCTACAAAAAATAAAGAAATTAGTCAGGTCTGGCGGCATGTGCCTGTAGTTCCAGCTACTTGGGAAGCGAGAGAAATGCCTGAGCCCAGGAGATCGAGGCAGTGGTGAGCTGTGGTTGTGCCACTGCTCTCCCACCTGAGCAATGGAATGAGACTGCCGACTCAAAAAACAAAAGAAAAAAACCCCAGTGGTTCCTAGGGGGTGGGAATAAGGATTTTGCCCCCCAGGAGACATTTGACAATGGGTGGAGACATTTTTGGCTGATATAATCGTGGGGGTGGGGAGGGATGCTCCCAGTATAAATGGGTGGAAGACAGGGATGCTGCTAAATACCTTACAGTGCACAGGTCAACTTCATGTATTAGTTTGCTTAGGGCTTTTATCACAAAATACTTCAGACTCGGTGGCTTAAACAACAGGAACTTATTTTCTCACAAGATCAGTAGGGTTCCTTCTGAGACCTCTTGCCTTGGCTTGCAAACAGCTGCCTTCTTACTGTGTCTTTGCATGGTCTTTCCTTTCTGTGCATGTCTGTGTCCTAGTCTCTTCTTAAAAGGACACCAATCATATTGGATCAGGGCCCACCCATATGATCTCATTTTACTTTAATTACCTCTTTAAAGACAGTCTCTAAATACAGTCACATTCTAAGGTTCTGGGAGCTACAATTTCTAACATGCATTTAGCAGGAGGGCAGGATTTAGCCTACAATAACTCACAATAAAGAATCATTCACTCTTGTATATGAATCTGGTAACTCAGTCGTAGAAGCCTTCTGTGGGTTCTTTGGAATTTTCTATGTAGACAACCATATCATATGCAAATTGAGAGTCTTATTTCTTCCTTTCCATTTGTATCCCCCCCGCTTTTTAGGCTAGGACTTCTATTATGATGTTGAACAAAAGTGATTTAAAAAAAGAACATCTTTGCCCTGTTTCTTGGCTTGGGGGAAAATATTCTATCTCTTACAATTCACTAAGATATTAGCTGTATGTTTTTGTAGATGTATTTTATTAGGTCAAGGAAGCTCTCTTCTATTACTAGTTTTCTATGCTTTTTTTAGATTTATTTATTTTTGCCCATGTATGAGCAGGGAACAGCTAGAATTGAAGTTTTAAAAACAGCACCATTTATAATGCCCCTCCTAATGAAATACTTTGGTATAAATGTAACAGATACCTGCAGAACTTGTATGATGAAGGTTACAAAGTACTGCTGAGAGGTGTTAAAGATGGCTTAACAACAGGATATGTTCTGAGAACATTGTTAGGCAATTTTGTCATTGTGTGAACATCATCAAGTGTACTTACAATATGGCCTATTGCTCCTAGATTACAAACTGCACAGCCTATACTACAAATGCTGTAGACAATTGTAACACAGTGGTACATTTGTGTATCCAAACATAGAAAAGATACAATAAAAATATGATATTATAATCTTTAAAAAAAAAGAATCAATCGAAAATGTCAGTGATGCCAAGATTGAGACCTCTAAAGTAAAGGAACTCCCAAGTCTACCTGAAAAATAAGACTTAAAGAGCATTTATTGAGCTCTTTATGTTAGCATTTAGCACATGTTTAATATTCATACATTGAAATAAAGACATTTTTATATCCATTTGAAAAAGATTGAGGAGAGGAACTTAGGGTAATTATTAGATCCAGAATTGAAGCCAATAAACTTCTGATTCTAAACTTTACCTTTTAGTGAAAATTTCCCACCAAATTTGCAGTCATCTATTGGTTAATTCTTTCTCCCTTCTGACTCCCCTCAAGGGTATCACAATTCCCATCAGTTATGTCAGCTCATACTAGCAGTAATACTTATGGCTTGGGTGGGTACAGGTGAGATGCTGTGTGTAATTTAGAAAAGGCCTTGCAGATGATTCTGATGTGTCAGGCCATCTTTCATCCTCTACTCCCATCTTTCTAAAACACATTGAGGACCACTGGTCTAGATGAAAAAAGAATGGATTTGTAGAGGATAGTCTGCCCTTAAAAATGAAGTTATATGATAAATATTCATATTTCAAAAGGGGTAGACAAAATAGTGGGAGAAAGCTTTGTAGAGGATTTTTTTTCATGTGGCCCTTTGCCCTGTAGAATGAGAAGAAAACAATTTTATCCAGACCACTACACTTACATAGTTATTTTGATTGAACACTAAATCTGACTCTGAGTTTTCTTAGAACCTGGGGGAAAAGCAGAAACAGTGGCTTTCAAACTTCTTAGCATCTGATAAAAGAAAGGAGTAATACTTCAAATGAGAAACTTTTTCCTATGATGTGTTTTTTATTATAAAAGTAATTAATTAGCTGGGCGTTGTAGCACACGCCTGTAGTTCCAGCTACTTGGAAGACTGAGGCGGAAGGATCGCCGGCACCCAGCAGGCGAGGCTGTGGTGGCCGGGAGCAGCCACTGCACTCC